CAGGAACACAAAGTAGGGAGGGGGAGATGTCTTTCAGTGAATCTGCTAAGTGCCAAACCAGCCATACAGTTGGCTGGGCCAGGCTGTTAACCTAGGAACCAGTCTCTTCAAGGGGTCATTCAGCTTTCTCTATAGGGCATCAGCAGCCTAAGCACAGTTTCTTAGGAGGTAAGGATGGACCAAACACTTATTTTTAAATATGAGCCTGTAAAAAAGACCATGTAGAATGGAGGCTGGTAAAACCAGGGTGTCTGCAGGGATGCTCAGCAGAGGCCCAACTCTGGCTGGGTGCTGAGCAGCCTATCCCACTATAAAGCATGGCAAAGTTTAGTTTGGCAGGAGAGGCGGTGTCTAGCTGCCAGGGCCTTGGAGGGGAGTTGGAAGCCAAGGAAACACTGTTCCAGTGGACTGATGCTTCACTCAGAGTCAGCCATTAAATGGAGATGGAAGGTTTGTGATCACATTTGCTTCATAGTCTGCAGAAATCCACCTTGTACAGATCTCCCACAGCAGATAAAACTCAGCTATAGGATATACTGTGCTCTAATCCCAAGAAAAGCATAGTAGCTAAAGGAAATGAAGCCATTCTAGGGCATGTCTAGGAGCCCCCCAAGATACATCCTCATGCTGTGGGAATTAGCTCTGCAAGAGTTGCCTCCTCTTATCCCCAGGTCCCTGTGCCATCTCTAATAGGGGAAAGGATGCCATGCTCAAGGGCTATGTACAAATTGGAGCACGGATAAGCAGAAAGAGGAGACTGCCTACGGCAGAGAGCAGGACAACAGAATATGTCATGTCACACCTGAGGATGCTATTTTGAGAGCTCAAGGCAGGTTGAAGGAAGTAGAGTTATTCTGCTCGCTGGGGAAAAAATGTTGGAAGGGGGCTGGCATCTCTCCCAGACTGGAGTGAGTGGTGCTGCAAACAGCCCAGGAAAAACAAAACACGCTTCCCTTTTGTAGGGAAGAGCAGCCAAACTGGGACTCACAGCCTTGGCTCAGAGTCCATCCACAAAGTGTCTGCCACAGTCTGCCCATGGGTTGCGTGGGCTGTTGGTAAGAGTTTGGGGCAACATGACCAAGCCCTCAGAACCTCTCCCTATCCTGCTCACAACTAATTTTAGCAAATAGTAGGAATCAAAGCACTACAGCACTCCAGGCTTTGACCTCCCCTCACTCATCTGTCAAACAAATAAGCTATCAGGGGTACACCATGCCACAGCCTCCCATTCTCTTCCAGTCTCACACTGTTCTGCTTAGTTCATCCAGTTTTCAGTTCAAGTTTTGTCTTTGCTACTTTGGCTGTATCAAGCACAGTATTTTTACATGGGATTCACCACATGTTCTATCTAAACAAGGCCTGTCTTCTATCTCTATGATTAAGTCTGTGGAAAGGAGACAGATCTATAGAAATCCTCAACAGAAAATACATAATAGGAAGACATTAGGGGCTACTCCCACTACAGATTACTTCAGGGAAAAATGAAAAAAAAAACATTTAAGGTTGCTACTGCAAGCTTCAATGCTGGAGGAAAAACATCTTGAAGCTAAACTGCAACAGCCCACAGCTTGGGGAGAGAGTGACCAAGGGACTGCCATGCTGGGGTAACTTGTCTTCCAAGATTATCCCCTCAGAAAGCCAAGCTAACGCAGCCCACTGGCTGGCTCTGCAGAGATTTTAGATCTTGCAGCAGGACAACCTGATGGCCAGGGGACACTTTTAAGCAGAAGGGAGAGGTAAAAATCCTGCTTTCAATTAATTGCATCACAGGGGAACCGGAGGGCAATTTGGATTAAACTATTAAGGCTCTTTCAATCAGTTCCCAGGGGAAGATCCGAGCATGGAGAATCCAGCCAGGAACAGCAAAGAGGGGAGCGAGAGAAACATAGTAAGGGTTGTGAGGAGGGACTGACATAAATGCCCTGCATAAAACCATGGGTTCACACCCATCTGGACCCTGCCACTGCCAGCAGTAGGGATGTGGGGAGGTTCAGGCAGCTTTCATGAAACCTGTTGCTTGCAGATAAGGGGGTCATTAGAGAGTGATTTATTGCTTGCTGACCTGCCTGGAGATCCCTCAGCAAAAGAAAGAGTGGTGCCCTGCTACCCTCATATACCCGGTTTGTGTGTGGCCCAGTTTCTAACTACTTATAAAGTAGCCTCTGTTTTAGAGGATCCAACTTCTCAGTCTCTCCATGGGCAAAGCCAGGATTTTTTTGGGTTCGCGCCTGTTGCTGTCTTTGGGATCTGCCTTACTGCTCCTTCTTGGATTAGAAAGTATGCACTACTGGCAGCTAGAAGCAAAGTCTCCTCTCCCCACATAATGCCAAAGACTCATTTCTTCTCTTCAAGTTTAAATAAAGCTCTACTGTTTTGAAGTGCTATAAAGGGCTGGCTTTTGTTCTGTAACTACTGATCAGAGCCTTGCAGCTCCAGGCCATCAGGCCACCACTCAGCTCCTCTGCACTCCACAGCCAGGCCAGCTGCCCCTGGCTGGACAGGGGAAGCATCTGTCTCACTCTCAGTTGTAGGACCAGTTAACCAGACTGGATCCCCTGCTGGGAATCAACCTAGAAACTGGGGTGAGCCAAGTGCATCTTCTGTATCCAGCTTAAATTCCTAAGGTACAGCATAAATACCTGACTGAGGCTGTGATATGGCAGCTTTTTTGGCAGGACTTTTGGCGGCTATGGACTTGGGGGATGGCTCTAGTAGTGTTTTCAGGCTTTAGAGGAGCCATCTTGTGCACAGAAAGCAAAAGGCAGATGAGCAGAGAAAAAATTCGGTTTGATGAAACAAAACTAGTTTGTTCATGGTATATAATAAGAAAAGTGGCCTGGTCCAGACTATATTCATCACTACACCTAGGAGCAACTAGAACAAATCTATCCGAGTTCAGTTTATTAAAATAACATCCCCCCCAAAGTAGCTGGAAATCCTCTGTATCTGCATTTTCGTTGTGTCCTTTCTCTGCCTTTAAAATTCAATGAATGCCAGATGTCCCTGATTTTGCTCTCCAGCAAACAGGTATCTTGCCCAAACCATCCTTTTCAAATTAGACACCATTTGCTGCAAAGTTAGTTTTATGAAAGTGAAAAGAGGGCAAATGGGAAGGGACAAGTGAAACACAAGAACTGCCGGCATCTATCATGTGCAAAATGACTGTGAAGAAAGTGGGGGACATGCTGCAGCTGTCATGGCAAACAGCAACAGATTGAGGGCATGGCATAAAGATGCACAGAGCTCTAATGAACAGGAAGAGCAAAGCCAGAGCTACAATTTTATCCTGTGTTGATATTCTACAAGAAAAATGATCACAGAGCGTTTATTGTCCCCTTAACAAGATCAAGCTTAATAACAAAGCTACACATGTTATTTACTACAATGTTTGCCTATTGCATAAGGCAGAAATATCTGCTGCCTGGATCCTCGCTGCCTGGTGAGGTCCTTTCTCTAGGAAGGTGGGTGGAAAAGACCCCAAATCCGTGTTTGCATGAGAGATTGATGCTGGGGAAGGGCACGCATATGTGGATTACACTGGGCACCAGCTCAATTACAGTACAGACAGACAGGTAACACAAAACCCAGCCCATCATGCTGCTCCCCTTGCCCACAGCCCCTGCACAGCTCCCATACTCTACAAGACACTGGTAATGAACAATCCACAATTTGCATAAGGCAGCTTAACCCAAAGTGGGCTGTCATGGCCAGCAGGCTCAGCTTCATATCGGAGTGACTCCCTAGCAGGTCTGCTTAAAGTGCCTGAAGGCTTAATGTTCATAGTGCCTTTTCTGCATAGAGCCTGAATCCCATCCTTGTACAGAAGCCTTGAATAGAAGAATAGGTGCCTATAATGCAGAGAAATAGAGGCTACAGGAAAGAATGCAGAAAGATGTGAGATGCACAAAGAACAGCAGAGAGGACCTGGAGCATCTGGGCGGAGTAACAAGACTCCAGAGCTGCAGGGAGCAGTGGTGTGGAGTCTTTTGCTCAGACAGAAGAGACACAAATGGGCAAATCACAACTCCTGTACTTGGTGGCTTCGTGCTCCAGCACTCTCAGAGCTGCAGCACATGCTCTTGTTATATGCATTTTCTGGAGTGCTCCCCCTCAGCACACTCCCTAGTAGTGGCATGTTCTCAGCAGTCTTGCTGTAGAGAGCAATGGGCTGGTTACTGCTCACTTGCTCACACTGTGCTCCACGACCTGAACCACTTGAACTTAAGCCCTGCTTGAACAAGCGCACTGTAAGCCATCTCTCCCCCAGCTTTCTTCCATGTTTATGAGCTTCTGCTGACTTTGTCACCTCCTTGCTCCAAAGAGGAACAGGAGGGAAAAAGAAGATCCTCACATTTAATTTTCATAAGACACAGTATCTGCTTTTGTCTTATCTTATCCACTAGAATATGCCTGGGTGTCAGGGAGAGGAAACTGGCCCTGGCTCAGCAAAAGCAGGAGTTCCAAAAAGTCTCCCAAACACAGCACAAAAAAGAAACATCTTTATCTGTCAGGCACTGTTTTACAGTTACACCCTGTGGGTGCACATGATTGATTGTTTGGGTATGTTTGCCACATGTGAAAGCATCCCAGGAGCAGTCAAACAGGAATATGAAACTACTGTATTCTTATACTGATATAATTTTACCTCCTCATTAATCTTTTAAACCTCCAAAAGACATTAAAAGCCTGCATTTAAACAAGGTGTAGAGGACCTGGGCAGAGTGATGGAGGACACACACGAGCCAAGTAACAGGAGAGGAAGGTAGGAGATATCAGTGCATATCAGCAGAAAGCAGGGTTTGGAGGGTACTGGGGACATAGAAACCTAAGGTGGCTCAGTGTGGAAAGCAATGGCTGATACTATGAAGAAATACCAGGACAAAATAAGTAATACCAGACAAAAGCTGAGCGAACATCTTACTTCGTGCCATTGGCCCTGGTAGCAATCTGCACGGCCTTCTCTGCTCCTCCACCATGGCAAGCTCTCTGCTCCCTCTTACCTGATGGGTGGTGCTGGCCAAGCTGGGAGACATGCTGCCTGAGCAGAGTTTGGGTCCAGATGCTGTCAGGTTGGTACTGCAGAGTCCAGCTCCAGCAGAAAAGTCCACACTGTGAAAACAAAGTCAAATCTCCCTGAGCAGCTGATAAAGGAGAAAACAAAACAAATCAAACAAACAAAAATGGGAGAAAGCAATTTTCTTCAACTTAAAAACAGTGTCTAAGCAATTCTGTCATGCTGTTCAGGTCATGCTGCTGCCATGCTGCATCAGGCAACATTCCTTGCAGCACTGCTGATGCAATGCAGAAGGAAGCAGAAGGAAATTAATTTCTGATGTGCCAATTACTCACCAAAGGCTTGGAGCATCAAACATACTCTCAGTAGCCATTTCACAGGGCAAAATGCTTGCATGGCCCTTGCATTGGTTTAGCTTCTGAAATTCTACTGAACCACATTATCATTGTGTTGCCAGTTTTGGAGCTGCCAGGAAAAGGTGGACCCAGCTAGCTTTTACCTGCTTTTGTTATTAGTTGGCTCAGGTTTCGGTGGTAACTCTCTGCCTGCAGAAAGCCGTATGAAATATAGCAGGGGTAGCATCTGGCTGGGAGGTCTTTAGAACAAACGCATTCATCTCGTCCTTCAGTACTGCTGTTTTACTGGCAGGTCTAGCTGCTCTTAAGTTCCACAAGACAGATTCCCAGCCCTGTCAGAGTGAATCAGTTCCTTTAATTCCTGAATTCAGTTCCTTTAATTCCAGAGTTTGAGCATGACTCTGGGATTCTGAGCCTGCTCAGGCAACGTGCAGTCCTCATCAAATAAGCCCCACAGTATTTGGTACAGCTGCTGCTATACAGGACATCTAGTGATGACTCGCATTTACAGATTAAACTGTTCATCTGGTGATTAAGTTAATTTATAAATATTGTTGTATGGCACAGATCTACTCTTCCTTTTTCTCAAACAGTGGCTGGTGGGTATGCTGCAGTTCGTGTCTCCTACAACAGAGTTAATCAACTCACAGTGCACCTGAAATTGCATAGAAAAGAGACATTTCAGTTTTAGAACCTTGACTCAAAACATCCCTGCCCATATAAAGAATCCACAGGAAAATGCTGTCAGCATGTGTTGCTGCTTGGCAGAAATGAGGTAGAACTACTCCCGTTCCCAGGCTCTAAAATCAAAAATCTCCCCATTTGCAGGGACTAGAGAGCCAAAACTGATCTTACATGTAGGAGCTGTCTTCCCCCCACCACTACAAGGTAAATGCACAAGAGATGCTGGTTTCTTCCCCAAAGAAAACACAAACACACAGACATGACAGAAAGAATAGGTAAAGTCAACACTAGAGAGCCAGTTCCGCTTCTCACTGATGCATGTGTTATCCTCTTAGAGCTAGCTGGGACACGTGTATGAAAATAAGGAAAGAATTTGGCATTTGGGCTTTGAAAAACATCTAAGAAAGCTCCACCCTACCAGCATTATTTTTTTAAATCCATTCTTTTTTCCATGGGGCAGAAAGTTACGTTATCTTAATTTAACTGAAGGAAGGATGGGATGGAAGCACAGAGAGCCCTAAGGTAACCCCATTTCAGTGGTAGACCTGCATCCTTCACCATGAGAAAAGCTTTCACCACCAAACTGTTTTGCTTCAGCTCAAGCCTGACATCCAGAATGCTTTCTCTGCTGTCTCTTAACCCCCTTTACTTCTCCTAACTTCTCCAGCAAGCAGACTGCGAGCGTACCAGCCACAGCATCTCCATTTCAAATGGTTTGGCTTTCCTTTCCACAACACTATTTCCTGACTCCTTTTTCCAATCTGTAGCTTGCTGAGCAGAGGATTAGGAGAAACTGAATCAGGCAGAAAAAGGTTCTCTCAAGGCTGGCCTGCAAATACCACCTTCTCCCTCTAATCTCAGGTACCCAGCAGCTCCTGCTTTGTACTGGATACACAGAAACCTCCCTAAATTATGTGCATGTGAGCAAAGGGATTGTTTTGAAATCAAACCTTCTGAAGTGTATCTTGATCCCAGCTCAACTTTGGACACACTGTTGAAATTTGGATTTAATTAATTCCACTTGAGTTTTGAAATGGTGCGATACATTTTTCAGAGGTTTTTTCCCCCCATTTCCTGGATCAGAGCCTCAACCGCATTCATGGAAACACTGAAGGGAAAAAAATCCCTAGCAATAATTCACCAAGTGGGAACTGAAAACATTCGCTGAAGAAGAAGGAACCTCTTGGTCTTTGGATGCTGGGAATAATTCAACCTCTCCTCCCAATTCCCTGAGGCTCAAACAGCCCTTTTTCCGGCAGAGCTGTGGTTATTTGAGCAAGCTGCCCTGGGGACAAGTGCATGTTACTTGTAGGATTTGGGCTGGGAAGATCAAGCGCATGGATTTGTAGGCAAGAAGGGTTTTGTGTTTTAATAACTGCCAACAGGCCCACAGAAGAGCCTAAGCTTGCAGGAAGAAAAGCCTGCTTGGCAGAACTCAGCTCAAATATCTTGGAAGCACGCAGGGAAGCGCAGACATGTCTGTGAGCATCATCTCCAACAGTACAACATTTTGCATGCAACGAATGTACTGATCCAAGACTCATATGATCTCCACTTTACGCTTCTCTCCTATATTGCTATTTTTTGAAGACGTTTCCCAGAATAACATGTGCCCAATCAATAATGTTAATATCACTCAATAAGCAGTAAGCCATCTTTACTGTGTGTGCTATTTGCAGCTGTACAAACAGGGCCATCAGACATGGTATTGGAGTGGTGCTACCTCCAGAAATGGAGGCTGCAGATTTCCAGGGCAGCAAGGTGTCTGAATCTTTGGGAAGAGACAAAGAGCAAACAAGGATGCTGCCACAGCATTCCCTCCATCTCCTGCAGGTAAGTGACTGAGACATGCTTTGATTGCAATGAAAACCCCATGCAGGGCCATGGAGGGTTCTAGCATTACCCCTCAGCTTCTCTCTTCTCCTTAAAAGAAAGTGTTGGTTTCCACAAGTGATTTTCTTCCTCTGCCTCCTAGAACAGTCCCAGCAGCATCACAGGGGCCTAGGAGGAGGCTGAAGAGGGCAGGGGATCTCAACAGGGAAACTGAACAAAAAAAAAAAAAAGTGTCATTTTGAATTCTTTGCTCTTGGTGAGTTGAATCCTCTCAGAGCATCTACTGACCTACAATTCCAGCCATTGTGGGTGGCAACGAGACCCTCTCCACTTCACCCCAGCTGTAATAGCTCGTCTCTCTGCTGGGGCAACAGAGGTTCTCCTTACACCTTGACAGAAGCCAGATACACCCTCTAGGACTACAGAAGTAGTTCCAGTTCCTGATGTTCAGCTATGTTATTAACACACAGCATCCATTGCCTGAATTCTCCCTGACAAACACCGGAAACACTTAGAACCTGAACTTCCTAGACCATCCTCATGTTGTTGACAGAAAATCAAAACCAAATCCTATTTACAAACAGAGCAGGAGAGGCCAAGAAGCTCATCTGTAGAAGTGTGGAAGAAACTTGGTCCTGATATGCAATGAGCATGTTTGCAAGTGGTCTGCAGGGTGAAAATAGGTGACACAAACTAATCCCAACCAGGAGTCAGACTCACAATGAAGTCCTGAACGCTAGTCTGACTACTAGGAGAGCAGATTATGAACTAAATGCTCTCTTCTTCTTGTAAAGCACACTCAGAGCAGCAGAACGTGTTAATGTCTGGTCATCACCCAACCTCCACTCTGTGAGCTGCTAGCAGGTAAAAGTACTGCCAACCTGCATGGAAAACACATCCATCTATTTTCCTTCTGTCATGTTTTCTCAAATCCATTACACATAAACCTAGAATGCACAGAGGGCAACGTATACACCGATCGTATAAATTCCTCTTCAAAAATATACAGCATGACCAAAGACAAACCACAATCCCACAACTGAGCACACATACAGGACAGATGCGCTACACAACTCAAGTTTCCTTTACTGCTAAGAAATAATTTCATCGGTTTTGTTCTCCTGTATTTTGTGATAGCTAACTGGGTCTCTCCTCAAGATTCCTGGCACCTCTAATGACTTCTGAACCTAAAGCAAAAGACTCAGTTGGATTCTGATTTATTGGACTGCAAACCAATAGTCACCAGTTTACCTGGTACAGCGTCTGTAGATTTTAGCCCTCTGAGTGCCACTTGGTGATGCAGACAAGAGACAGCAGCGGAATCTGGCACCTCTCTGGAACAGCCATTGTGTCCCTCCAAACACCTATAGCCCAGGAATTGGACTGGCGGGGGGGGGGTCTTTCTTCCTCAGCAACTGAACCTAATATTTTCAGATGAAGTGTTTCCAGGGTAGAAATTCTTTAACTAAACATTTTGCCACCAGTAAAATGCTTGTTCATTGGCAGAAAATATTTGGGTGTAACTAGCACCTTGAAATATAAATGGAAGACAAAGCACCTTTGTTTTGATCAACTGGAAACAGAAATGATCCATTTTGATTTGAAGTGACTTCAACTCAACAGTTAAAAACAAACTTAAAAGAAATTAAAATGGAAATGAGTTGAGGCTTTTACTTGAACCAAGATGCCTCTTAAATGTTTTGGCATGAACACTGAATTTCCCAAATCTCTTTACACTGTTTATTTCTAAATACCGGATGTCTGGTTTGCTTGGAGAGAGTGTGTGCGTGTGTGTGTGTATAAAGTATTTGCCTGGCTCGTCTGTCCCAATGTCACAATCATAAAACACAGACTTGAACTCCTGGCACTGGGGGAAAACACAGCAGACAAAGAAAGGGCAGGAGAGAGCAGAAATTATGTTTGGAACTGCTTTTCCAGTAGTATGTGCTAGGGTTCTCCTCCACAGCAATTTCTGGGAGCCTAAATCACTTGTTATGCTGGCATCACCTGACACAGAGGGAAACGGGGATCAGCACAGGGGATACAAGTGAAGACAGTTTTGCTCCTTAGACAAGCCAGTGGTTTTTCATATATCCAGATGAGTTTCTTTAAAAAGTTTTCATGTATTTCTAGGGAGGGGACAGGCTTTGTAAGGCAGAATAAAAACTTACTTTCTGAGTGTAAGCCCCGTGGGACAAGCACTGGCTTCTCACAAAAGCTTTGCCCAGCACACTCCCCAGCAGGGCAAAGCATGGAACAACTAACACTGTAACCATGTGAGGTGTCACGAGGCATGTTATTCCATCCCGGTCCTTCCAGCACCCTGAACGAAGAATCTATGGTAATTACTCATAATCAATTCCAGATTGCATTTCCAAGGACCTAATCTTCAGCTTCATAGCAAAAGCACAGCACCTAAGCCCAGCTTGAGAAAGATGCTGGTCATCTGCCATCCAAAAGGCACGAGGTGGCTGGGCAGGGAACACCAAGCCTTTGTCTCCTTTCACATTTAAGAGAAAAGCAGTGTTCTTGCTGTTGGGCTGCTGCCAGAGCTATTTCTATCAAGTGAACCCACCGTGGACAGCAGACTGTGTAGTCAAGAATTTAACAAGCCAAAATGTCTCCCCTGATATTTGGGCTACTAAAGACACACAGCTCAGCACAGCAGGTTTCTTCCAGCAGCTAAGCTGTCAGCCACGGGCGTCCCTTGCTGTCTATGCACACAGGCTGGGAGCACAAAGGGCCAGGCACGCTCTTCAGCTTAATGAACCACAGAAAGACCAAGCCAGCATGACAGCAGATGCAAACAAGAATGTAATTAGAGGTGGATTATAAATCTCTGGCTAGGTACCTGGAAACACTTGCATTGTGAGAGAAAGCAACAGCTTTGCTGATGGCATTTGGACTTAATTTAGGTCACGATTACAGACAGGGTGCTCTGAGCTGGCAGGGGTCAGATGGCAAATCAAAAACAGGCTCCTATTTGTCTTGACTCCTGCTGCTGGCCTCACCTTTCCAGCCCCACAGCCCAGACAGAAGCAAGCACTGTTTTCCCCTGGCCAGCTGGTGAGCAGCGAGTGTGGTGCAATTCATGCTCACTCTACTTGCACTGTGTCTGTCCGCAGAGCAGAAAAAACAACAACATAGTTAAGTTCTTTTGCTCTAAAGAACATTTTTAATATCCAAAAAGCAGAGGAGAGCTCTAAACCCAGCAGGGGGAAAGCACAGGTCAGCTGCTCCACAGGGAACCCCAGCTGAAGCCACGGGCCCTGCATACTCAGGGAACATTCAGAGAACCCAGAGACAGACTTTTGAAGAGACCTCCATGCCACTCTGCACCTCCAACTCACAGCCTGGAACATTTCTTGTCAGCCAGGGCACCACCCCAGAGCACGGCAGCTCCAAGACCTCTACTGGCTTGTTTCTATCTCTGTACAAAATGGGGTAAGTTGCACATGCTGGTGGGGAGACCCTCAGCCAGGAGAGAATTGGTGGAATATGTCTGCCCACAGGAGCACTATTTCTGTTCAGAGCATGTTCATCTGCCTCGTGATACAGCTCCCAGGTGGATCTTTGCCAAGTTTGGGGCTGTCACTGGAGTGTTTCTTGCTCTTGGTGTTGAAATTTGAAAACATCTACTTTGAACTGTCTCCCTTACACCATGTCACACTTCCTAGATAAGCCTGGCATAAAGCTTAAACCTGCACACGCTGTCTCAGGCAGGTGCCAGTGAGTGGGAGTTAGCAGCAGAGCACCGTGAACTCAAAAACTCTCTGCTGTTCCCAGAACTACACCGTGCCAGTGGTATCTGCAGCCAACTAGGAACAGGAACACGCCTCTGAAGTGATCTCCAATCCTTGATACTGAGTGGAAGGAGCCACGACTCACCCAAAGCTGGAGAGCACATGCTTGGCAGAGCAGGTGGGAGACTTCAGACCTCCATATCCCACCACCAGATCTCGCTGTCTCTCCTAGAGCACCTCGGGGAGGTTCTTTATCCTTGTCTATATAGGACAGAGAAGCCACAGTCTGATCAATCCAGGAGACAACCCTGTGAACAAACAGAGCATGGAAGGCCATTAATGGACACATTAATAAATGAGCTGATTTTTCAAAGGGTTGGATGGCATTTGAAGTGTTAATGACTGAAGGCTACTGTATGATTTCAAAGCTAGCTGCTATGGACACTGGCTGGCTTTGTTTGAGGTCGTTTGCATTTCAGGCCCACCAGCTCTCATTCATCTCCAGAGAGGCATATTTAGTTGTCACTTGAGCTGAACCCTGACTGACACTTCATGCTGATTTTTCTCAGGCATTGGGTGGCTGGTCAGCGAGTCCTGGCAGAGCAATGCAAAAGTAGCTGCAAAGGTTGGGGTCTAATCTAAAATCCCTCAGAGTCCCTGCAAAACATTCCTCTGCTATCAGTAGCCTTTGGATGGGGGCCATCACAAACAAGACACATACTATAGTACATCACAGTTATTTCAATCCAGGAGAGCAAAACATGTTTCTAAGGGACAACTAGCAGCTGGAGAATGGAGTGTGAGTCCAGTCCCCTGAGTTTTACTCCTAACAACAGCTCATGACCCATCAAGTGCTTTCCTGGGGAACCCTGCTCACTCTGTTTGCAGGGGGACCCTTAAGACCATCAGTTTTACTGCTAAACCTTTACATGGTCTTGCCCCAGTCCTCTTCCCTGCTATCACACCACAGTGCAGCACTGCTGCTTGGACCAAATAAAAACATTGCTCCTAGTCAGAGCCACTCCATCCCTGGCAGACATGGCTCTGCTGCAGAGTCCCACAGGGGCCATTCGATGCCTCTGAGTTCACAGTTCTCTAAATAACCCCCTGGTGCCAGAGGGCACATCTGCTCTACACGTGCTCACCAGCACACAGGTGAGGTTTGGTATCATCTGAATAATCCATAAGCACTGTTTGCTTTCTGGGGGGTTTCTTCCTTCAGCTCCATTTTCTATGTTTACCTGAAAGACATCAGGGCAGTGTGTGGGGGTGTCTCTGAACATGAGGGGAAAAAAAAGATGACCAGAGAAAGGGGCTGGGAAATTCGGAGAAGTAAAGGGATGAAATAAGAGGAACAATACACACTGCATTGTGGGGTGAGCCTCTGTGTGTGTGGTCACCCATTTGTTGTTTATTCCTTCACAAATTCAAAACAGCCCTGTTGTGCTAGTCACAGAAACAAGCGTGTCTGTCCTCCTTCAAGGGATCTGCTCCCTCCACACAGTGGCTGTGTACTTCACTGGAGCCATGTTGGCTGAGGAAGGACAATGGTCGCAGCTTTTGCTATCGTTGTTGATGCTGAAGTTGGATCCCAGCCTCTTGGGCACATCTGGGGCTCTGCCAATATGCTTGCTGATTTTTAAGCATATAGGACAATACCTTGGCAATTATTCTCCTGCAACAGAGCCACTGTCCTTGGGAATCCATGGCTTCACTTGGCTTCTGGAGCTGATCCTGATGCAACATTCAGTGAATGGTGTTTTACTGCCCTTGCTGACCAAATTGAAAACCTCAGCAGCCTCTAAAAACACAGCCTGTGTGGGACCAGTGGCTCACCTCACCTGTTGTTCAGGGATGCAAACAAACTTTTTTCCAGATAGAATTAGAAACCATATAAACTGATCTCACCCCCCGTAAAGGGCTTTCCATTTCTTGTGTCCCACCAGTTTGCAGAAATCCTACTACCTGTAGCATTTTTACTCAACACCACACTATTCTGAATAGGACTGCAAATTAAAACAGACAGCACATCAGGAGGTGGGCAGCCCAGATTTTCCTCCAGCAAAGCAAGGCAAAGAAAAGTTAAGCACATCCTGAGCTTCAAAGAGCAGACACTTCTGAAGAACAGACAACTAAAAACACTGACTTCCATCACAGCCCACAGTTGCAGCCCTTGACAGAGAGAAGACTTAAAACTAAAGCTGTCCTAGGGCAGAGTGGGTCAAGTCCAGCCAACTCTAAGATCTTCCCCGCCAGAGTGCAGCATCAGACAATTAAAAGAAGAGTAGAAGGCCTTACTAGAGGGATACACGTATCCTTCTAGCAATTAGCAGCTGGGGATGAAAGCTCTTTGTGCACACAGGTTGTGGGAGAGGATTTGTGTTTTGTAGTGCTGTTCCCCATGGCTCCATCCCCCACTGCTCTGTGCTCAGCCAGCTTGAAAAAGATACTTCTGAAACCCAGTTACATCAGCACTCATGTGCCACAGCCAATTATTTCTCTGTCAAATGGTGCCTAATTATGGACAATCAATTATTTAGTGCAGAAGCTTTCCCGCTTGGCAAGGTGGGAGGCATACCTTGCCTCAGGGCTCTCCGTGCTGTTTGTGCCCAAGCAACGGGGGGTTACTGGGGGGGTCACAGACATTACACTGGAGTCACGAGCCCAGCAAACACAAGGAGATAATCCACCAAATGTGCTCAAAGAGACCAGCAGCATGTGTGAGCACGCCCTTAGTATACTCTGCCTTCCAAAGCAGCATGGTTTAAACCAGATGGTCCCATGAAAGTGTTCAGTGTGCTATCTTGGATTATAAATATCCTTTTCTGCCACTTATTGCTGTCTCAGAAGATGTTACAGAACCCCTCTATACATGAGACTATCCAGGTGAAGTCCTACTTCCATCTGCAGTTGTCTGGGGGTTAACCTGGAACAAATGCCCCCTAGATCAGACTGGGTTAGGGCACTGACCACACAGGTCACATACTGGTGAGGCCAGTAGGTGGGAGATAGCTGGGAATTCCCTCATTTTATTTAGCATCAATGAGGACAGCCTACCTGGCAATAGCCTTGGATCTTCTTATGCTAGAAGGAGGGAACTCTAGATGGTTTGTGAAAAATAGCCATGGCAGTAAGCATCAGATGCTTTTCCTGCTCTAAAATATACAGAAAATGGATTATTTTAGCCAATATAAAAATGCACTAAGAGTACATGAACAATCCAGTTACAGGAAAGAATAGGGCAGATGACAACCCTGTTAGGGAAACAGGAGGAAAGCAGAGATAAAAGCAATTTATGCACTTCAAAAACAAATCGATAAATAAAATTGTTTCACTCTTTTCCTCTCAACCTGCTAAAATATGCAGTTAGCTCACTTACAAATCAAACACTGATGGCTTACAAATTGCTTCAAGTTCTTGTTTGCTCCCCTTAACCTCTGAAGGGTGAAGTTAATGCTCCCATGGAAAAATTACTAAGAAGTTTCTAGTTTGGTGTGTCTTCCAAAGTTATATGAATTTCAGTAAAACCAAAACATTTTCTGAGAAATTTTCAATCCCCTCCAACCTCTGTCAGCTTTCCACACCTCCCAAACAAATCTGTGAAAAAGGATATTCGTGGTAAAGTTTCCATCTGGATAAAGAACGTTTCATTAAGGAACAGAACGAGACACTGAATAAAGAGTTCAGACCAATTCTAGTTGAAACACTGGCTAGATGCATTTCCCCAAATTGCTTTTCTTCATCTACTTTCATGCTATTTTCCTGCATTTTTTTTAAATGGAAAAAATATTCCAATAAAGAGGACTTGGAGGGTCCCAGTTTGCACTATACAGAGCTTTTATAGCTGCTGGGCGCTTAGCAGATCGGGGCTCTGTTTGTTTTAAATATGCATTACATTTATTCCAAATAAACTCCATAAATCAATCTGAGTAATAGAAACCAGAAAAGTTTATGCAAAACAAATATAGAAAGTCATAAATACTGCGTTTAAGATGTCATTTTTGTGGCTGGTATATTTCTATGGTATGTTTTTACTGTTCGTGGGATAAATTTTTCAGAAACATTAAAATCTTTCCTCCCCTCCATTCTCTATAGGTTTATCCCAAAGAAATAATGAGGCTAGCTCTATAAACCAGCATTTATTAAATCCAAATGGGCACTTCATCTTACAGTAGCTTTCAATATAACCTATTTGATCTTTCAAAGTAGTTGGAAAATGATTTCAAGGGGAACTTTCACAGAACAAATTAACTTGAAAGAAGAGAACACTTTATACCCCAAAGAGGGAGGAAAGCAATTTCCTCAGTTTGTCTGTCTCCGGATTCCCCTTAGCCTGACGGCAGATATGCATGCTCCAAGAGGCACTCTCCCTGGCTGCTATTGCATGATCTCAGCAGCGATGCCAGGAGCCTATGGAAAGCAGGGTCACAGACCCGTAAGACTACAGTCGTGACAAGTTTATCTCTGGTGAAACTCCAGCTTACAGAAGAGATAGGAAAGAACAGGCTCATATGGAAACTAAAAACTGTTTGTCCAAGCTGCAGTTCAATTCTGCCTCTTAAAAGTTATTTTATTTTTTTTTTTGGAGGGACTTTATTACCTGCTTGCTACAGCTCTTCAGAGTAAGCAAAACCAGCACTGGGGCCATAACCTAGTCAGCAGATTCAGGGACTTGGATTTTAAGAATCCGAAGCTTAAGGCATTACAGGTCCTCAGGGAGAGGTCAAGACCCTGGGACAGATGAGGTGCCAGTTTTTGGGGTGTTCCACCAAGTACTAAATCCATCAGCTGGAGAACATTATGGCTCCCATAGCCCAAAATTTCTCTTTGGATTCCTTCAACTCCTGCATGCATCAACAACCCTGTCTGAGCAAGTTTCTCAATTAACCAGGATATTAGGAATCTCCATTCAGTCTGAAAGCTCTGTATGAATCATCTTCATTAGCCTATTTTACAAATGTTAATTTTCTGTCTCCACACATGTGAAAACTGCAGGAACCAAGAAGAGAATTGAGCTGAGAAGGATGAGGCATTTGGGGACATGGGGTTAGGGAAGAAAACAAAGAAGGTTTCTCTGTTTGAATGCCAGAGGAGAGCTCTTGGACTGCAGGAGCAGCCTGGCTGAAGCATTTCATCCTAGGCCAGGATAAAGGGAAGAAATAAAGAGCCAGAATTGGACTGTTCCCTACAGCACACTGAACTGATGCTCTCCATCTCCAATGTCTGCTGTTCTACAGTCCCTTGGAAGGTTAACAAGTTTATTTGAAGAGTGCTGGCTTTACCTTCCAAAGCTGCATAAGCTCCCAGG